CAGGGGCAGGGGAGTGAGGGCACCAGCAGGGGGTGCCAGGCCAGAGGGAGGCAGCGGGGAGGGGCCGGGGCAGCTCCTGGCTGCAAGGGAAGGAGCGAGGGGGTACGGTGGCTTGGGAGGTGGCCTGTCCAGTTGGGAAACGACAGCCACTCAGAGATGGAGGGAGAAGGTAAAGATGCAAGCAGCAGAGGGGCCACCTGGTGAAGGAGACCCCAAAGAACAGGACACGGACTCCTGAGAAGGTGGGAGAATGAGGAGTAGGGGCAGGAACAGGACATTTTAAAGAATTCCAAAATGCTCATGTGATGGGCATTTGGAACTGGGGTACCCTGAGGACCCGGCAGTCCGCATGGGGGCTGGGGAAGAAAAGGGATGGAGGGGGTCCCACAACAGGGATGGCTGGGTGGCCTGGTCCTTAGCTGAGCCAAAGACCAGCCCTGCAGGAGGCCAGCGCTCCCCAGCCAGAGGAGCGAGGGTGGGCACAGGTTGGCTTCCTGGAACCAGAACCTGGAGGGGGCCTGTTGGGTGGACACGCACTGGAGGCCACTGGGCTGGGAGTCAGGAGCCTGCGCTCCATCGGCAGGCCCTGCCCATCTGCTTAGCCTCCCCAGCTTCATCATGATGCTGTCTGGGGCCCGTGCAGTTGGGACCTGGCATAGTGTCTCTAAAGGGCCATCTTGTGTGGATCATGGACCCCTTTAGAAAGTGGAAGGGGACATCAGACCCTCACACATGCAACACAGACAGATATCTGCGTCACAATTCCCGGGTGTCAGTGGATTCCCTAAGATCCATCCGAAGACCCAGGAGTCTAAAGTTCTAATCACACTCAGAAACAGGCCCTCGTCAGGCCCAGCTGCCCAGCTGGAAAGCTGCAATGAGGAGCACAGACAGCCGGCTCCTGTGGCAGCACCACCGCCCCACACCGCCAGGCTGCTAATGGGCTTTTCTCCTGTTTGCTGATGGAGGACACTTGTAATAAAGTTTAATGTGGAAGGACAAGGTGCATTTAACCACAGCTGTAAATACCGCTAATTCTATTTAAAACTATAGGGTACAGTACATTAACATTTAACAATCAGACACCAAATTGGTGTGAAGCTAATCGAGCTGTGTTTATTAGAAAGCAGGCGCCAAGTCATCTCTTAACAATGACAACAGGAGCAGAAAATTGCCTTGGCCACCCCTCCCACCCCACCCCGTGCGTTCATTAAGTCTTGTCTAAACCGCCACCCCATGGAAAGATGAGGATTGCTCTGAAAAAAATACACTGAGCGGATCAGATGCAGCTCAGCCCCAAAGCTCATTAGCCTTGTGTATGTGGGGATATCCCCCCCCCAAAAAAACCAAACCATTTTATGAATGAGAATGTGTAATTAATTCAGAATGAGCAGAGGCTCGCGAGCGGATCAGATGCAGCTCAGCCCCAAAGCTCATTAGCCTTGTGTATGTGGGGATATCCCCCCCAAAAAAAAACCAAACCATTTTATGAATGAGAATGTGTAATTAATTCAGAATGAGCAGAGGCTCGACCTCAATCCATCTTGACCTCTGCAGAGTTCACACCGCCGAGCCCTTCCTCCTTTGAGAAACTCCCGGCCGTGGCTTTCTCCCAGGCTCCCCTGCCCCTCTGATTGCCCACTCTCTGCTGGGCCCCTCTGAGCTCCCCACGGCTCTGGCCCTGCCAGCACAGGCATGCCCCACCGCTCAGGCCTAGCACTTTCCTTCCTCATCGGGCAGCCTCTCTGTGGATTTTGCCCACAGCTAGGGCTTCAGTTGTGACCTATGCACTGAGGACACCCCATGCCCGCCAGGAACTCCAGATCCATATTTCCAACAGTTTAGATCCTTGCTACTCTGTGTTCCGGGAACAGAAGCATGGACACACTCTGGGAGCCTGTTAGAAACTCAGAATCCCACTTCCCACCCCAGACCTCCTGACCAGGATCTACATTTTCACAAGATCCCAAGCGACCTGTGCACACATTAAAGTTTGGGGAGCACCATCTGTGCATATCCATCTGGACACCCCGTTGTACTCAAGCTCAGCACAGCCACACTGAATGCAGATCCTTCCCCCGAACCACACGCTTCTGCTCTGCTTTCCTTCCCAACGGACAGCTTCTGACCCACGTATGGAGGTAGGGTTGTGTTTTAGGGTGGGATCAATGTCCCCACCATGAGACTACCTCACTTTATAATGAACTCCAAATGACACAGAGCTGGGTCACCCTGGGGTCAGAGATGCTGAAAAGACAGCATGTTCTGTGTGGAAGCCAGCCTAAACCTTAGAGCTAACATGCAGGTGACATGGCTCATCTGAGTCACCACCACCCTGTGCCTGCCCCTGCTGCCGCCAATGCCTCTCAATACTGCCCAGACCTGCTGGCATCCCTGCTAGTCCTCAGTGCTCCACTGAGAGCTCTCCATTGAGAAGGGTGTCTTCAGAGCCCAGACAGGGTCTGCCAGGCAGTGGGGCGCAGAGCGAGGCCAGAGCTCACAGTCACAGGCATGGTCGGTGGTGCGGCGCGAGTGGGCTCCTCGGGCCATGACGCTCAGTGCAGCTTTTTCTCTTTTTGTTTCCTGTGCTGGGAAGCAGCTTTGATGCATACTGTGTTAGGGTCCTTTCTGTTGCAACCTGACTACTTTGAGCAAAACCAGGATTTTAGTAGTAGGATAATGAGGTAGTTTACGGAATTAAAAGATCTGAAAGAAAGAGAAGCATCTGGGGGGTGTTAGGAGCCTGGGGCTGGGATTCTGTGCTTCCAGCACATTCGATTATCTGCTTCTCTCTCAGTGTCCTTGTCATTCTCTGTGGCTTCTCCACTTGCAGGAGACATAGCTGTTGGTAGGTCTGATTTCTGTGATCCTAGTTTCGCTGCTCAAGGGGAAGATGGTTTCTTTCTCCCAAGGATTTGTGCTTTGGACCATTTTTGAGGCCTGGGTCATAAGCCCCATTCTCGGCCCAGCCTAGGTTATAGTCATGCATATCAGAGGCTGAGTGATCAGCAAGGCCACGGATAGTCCCTAAAAGAAAGAGAGGCTTTGGGCTTATTGACGCATGGGCCAACTCCACGATGACACATTAGAAAATATGAAGTGTCCCATGTCATTTTCGCTCCAGTGAGAATCAGGAGGTGGGAGGCTTGGCTTTTTCTTATTTTCCCTGTCAGCTAACAGGGTTACAGTGCTTTGGTGAAGAGGGGATCCTAAAGGAGTCCCAGCCCTCTCCTCCCACCACAGCTGCTCTCGTTCGGGGCTGGGGCTTTGACTTGGCAAGATTGTCTCACCCAGGTGGCCACCCTTTCACCCCTCCATGCTTGCCATGTGACTCCATGCCAGCCCTGGCCTAGGCCAAGACTCCCCACCCAATCTGAGAGTACCTGCACTCTGCCTGCAAGAAGCCACTGCGTTCTGAGCAGTGGGTTCATATTTGTTTAACTTCCTTTAAACGTAAAGCAATTGTCCATTCTGAAAATTACCTACATACAGTTGCTTCCTTTAATGCTTTATAGTAAAAACAAATTGAAGAGATTCCTCTAATTTGTATTTGAACAGTATGTTTCTCCTTATTTTTAGAAACATCAGTGCACGGTTAGTGTCTATCTGATACAGAATGAATGAGTAGACACATTTTTGAAACTTACTGTGTCTGCACATCAAGGTTCATCACCTCAGACAAGTACCAGGTACAAATCATCCACTGCTTCCAGTCTGAGCAGCGCTTGCATGGTTTGCTTCCATGGATAACCGTGGGATGGGCTCTGCTCAGATGCTGTCCATAATTCCCTGGGGAAGCATTTTCAGCAGGGGGAATGGTCAGCAGGTCCCCCATTCATACACCTAATGTGGATCTGTGCAGCTCTGACCAGAGTTTGGGAGAAAGAGTCTGAACAGGATCCGTAGCAATGAGTGGTTAGACTCTAACTGGCAGCTACCGACTCTTAAAATCACATGTTCTTCTTAGTGGAATATGTTGATTTCCATGTATGATGACCCTAAGCTCTCACCAGGCATAAGGGGCGCGTGTCTGGGTGGTTCCACTCTGCAGAGGCCTGGGGGCATTGGAAAACATTGCCCTCTGCCCTGTCACCCTCTCCCCAACCTCTCCCCTTCACTCCCTGTGCCTCCTCCCACTTGGCACCCCCCCCCCGGCCACGGTAGCCCATAAGACTCTGTGCAAATTTGGAATTCACCCTCCACCCTCAAAACACTATCCAGCCACCTGCTGAGACACTGCCATGATAAAACAAAAACCCTTGTGATGATTATGATATGAATGCTGTGCAAAACGTGTACTCTCCCTTCCCAAAGAGATGCTCAGGGAAGTTCTGGTGAGTCTTCCCAGATGGCCTTCCTTCTTAAAAACTGTGTGGTTTATTCACTGCCCTTGAGATGGGCAGAGAGTGAGGGAAAAAACGTGTACTCTCCCTTCCCAAAGAGATGCTCAGGGAAGTTCTGGTGAGTCTTCCCAGATGGTCTTCCTTCTTAAAAACTGTGTGGTTTATTCACTGCCCTTGAGATGGGCAGAGAGTGAGGGAATGAGGTGCGGGGTCAGCGGGGAGGGTGGATTTCCACTTTGCGACGGCAAGTTGTTTTTGCTTCCGGGAAATCAATACCGCTTCCAATCTGGACTCGTTCCAATAAGCCATGAGAGGCACTCAGAAGCTATTGTGGGTCTTTGGGAGCATTTCTCTGGAGCTAAGTGCATGAACAAATATTTGTTTTTTAAAGCTATTGCAATGAGAACCTTAAATAGTAAAGAAATGTTCATTTTGAAAATGCAGGCTAGCTTTAGCATGAATGTTAACATAGAGCACTTGCATAGCAATTTACAGTTTCCAGAATCTGGCAGTATTCATTACCCATTTTTAGCCCCAAGAATTCTATGGGAGGTTAGGTTACCTTTACACAAACATGGAGTTTTCACAAGGCTATTAGGGGATAAGAAACTCGACCAAGTACACACGGATACATAGATGGGCACAACTCATACCCCGTCAGTGTTTAAAATAGATAATTTATCATATGTACATGGTCCATTACACAGCCAAACAGTTTCTATAGTGTGCAGTACACAGCCACCCAGAGTACAGTTGCACATCAGGAAATGTCCTTCACAACACAGTCGACCTGATGACTCTTCCAGAGTGGACGCACCTTCAGGGAGTCCGAGATTCCTGCATGTTATGCAGATCCTCAGAGCAGCTGCCGCACCTATGTACACCCATGCACCCCCCGACCCCCACCCAGACCCATGAGGATTCATGCACAGGGCTGACATGGGCAAGCAGTTGGCAGGAGTGGGGTCTTCAGACACGTTCTCCAGTGTGGCTTGTGCTCCCCACTCTCCTCCCCGCAGTGGACCTGGCAAAGGGCTTTGCTCTCACGTGCGTGGGCATGCCATCAGAGCTGACCGAGCTCTGCACACTTGGGAGAGACCCTCTTGCTCTCATGTGTCACTTGATGGCAACCCCCCCTGCTCCTTTGGAAAAGGTGAGTAAGAACGTCTCGGAGGCTGTTTCTCTACCATCACAGGTCCACCCGCCGAAGGATGTTCTACCTGTCCTGCAGCCTTGGGCATCGTGGGTGGGGAGAGGGCATGGGGTACCCAGAGGCTGACCTGAGTCTTCCCCACAATCTGTTCCTCTGCCATTTAATCATCAGGGTCAGAGCATCTACTTAAAACACAAGATGCCATCGAGTGGCTGCTTGTGACCCACAGTCCATTGCACCCTCAGTGCCCCAGCGATGTTGTCTGATCCTGTGAAAAGCAATTACTGCACATGTACCATCTTACACTTTGGCCTATAATGGCATTCCCTCTGGCTATATACTATGAGCTTGATATCACAGATACTGGAAGGGCAGGAGATTAAAATCAAGATTTAAAAAAGATTTTAAAAAATTAAAACCCAGAGAAAAAAGAGGAAAATGTGAAGGGGACTGGCTCAGCAGAAAATCTCCTTGGGTGCTCTCAGACTCAGAGTCCTCACGCCTCAGGGCTCAGGCCCACGAACAGCTTGTCCTGGGAGATTTGTCCAAGGGCTATGGTCCCTTTTCTTTGGGGGAGAACAGCCTCGTACCTCTTCAAAGTCACCTGGAATGCAGTTGGATAGGGGCTTCCCACCACCCCAAAGGCACGAGTGAAAATACAAAAATAGGGACTTTGTTTCCAAGGTTTCATAAATAACTGAGTGGCAGGTATTAAATAGAACCACAGAAGAGGACGTGTGTTACAGCTTGTTCTCCTCAAAGAGGATCTGGGCGTAGACGGTGCTGGTGGGGACGCCTTTGGCCACCTGGTGGGGCTTGATCAGCTCCAGCTCAGCGTAGGTCAGAGTCTCTTCTGCAATCTTTGGCTATAAGAGAAAAACAGACAGCACAATGCTAGCTAACCGTGGGGAGCTCCACACCACACATTCATTCACCAAGCGTGGGTTTTCATAGCACTTGTGGGATTAAAAGGGGGATGAGTGGACAAAATTTTAGATATTGTTTATATATTGGGTTATATAAACCCAATAACATAATTATGATTAGTTTATATACTGGGTTATATAAACCCAATAACATAATTAATAAGATAGACCTCATCTTATATACAGCACGATGCCCTGCAAAGAGATATTATGATATATTTTCGAGCTGACACGAACACTCACAAAAAAATGATTAAACATTAGGCCACAAAGAAAACTTTTATTTTGAAAAGTAAAAATAATGTAACTGAAGGCTCTGATCAAAAGGAAAACATAAAGGTGGAGACAGAAACAAAAAACAAAATTAGAAATTAATGACCAAACTAGAATTCTATCACCTAGAAATTTTTGTGAATGACATAACCTGTATAAAAATAAAATTTCAGAGTATCTTGAAAATAATGATAAAGAAAATATTACTTCTCAGAACCTAAAAAAAAAAATGGTTGAAGCAGTGCTCAGAGAAAAAACATAGCCTTATATATTTATATCAAACCATATGAATTAAATGGATCAAGCACCCAACTCAAAAAGTTAGAAAAAGAACAAAATAAAGAAAAGAAAAGCAGAAGGACGAAACCCATAAAAATGAAGTGAGACTGCATGAATCAGAACACAGAAAGCAGCAGGGTGTCTAAAAGCTGGTGCTTGGAAAACAACCATAAAACATAAAATTGGAAAATAAATTAATCGAGATAATGGAAAAGCATAAATGAATGAAATAGGAAATGAGAAAGGGGATATAATGTTAATAAAGGAAATTTTAAAAAATTTAAGAAAACTAATTTGCTCAACTTATTGAAAACATTTTGAGATACACATACAAGATAGAATGGGTAATGTTCCAGAAAAAATATAAACTATAAACATTAACTCCAGGAAATCTGAATGTACTAATTACCATCAAATAAAGAAATAGGAAGGAAAGTAGGTAGGTCAAAGTGTTCTTTCTCAAAAGCACCAGGTGAGCAGTTTTACAGGAGAATTTCTAAAAGAAATCTCTTTAAGGAACAGATCAATTCAATGTAATTAAACTAATCAAGAGCATAAAAAAGGGAGAAAATCTTGACATATTTTAGAACAATATCATTTACTAATATACATTTGAAGTCAAATTTATTCAGAGAGAATGAAGAAGTATGTTAAAAGATAATCCTACTAAAGTTGTTTTTATTCCAGGAATGCAAAGATGGTTCGATATTTAAAAAAAACTATTAACATAATTTATAATAGTAATAGATCAAAAGAGAAAAACCATATAATTAGCTCTATAGATGCCGGAAAGACATTTAATAAGATTAAAAATACAGTTTTGTTAAAAACAGTTTTTAAATGAAGTAGTCATAGATGTATATTTTCTTAGCGTGGTTAAGAAACATTATTAAAATAAAGAATAATTGGTCATTCAACTATAGTTATTTTAAAAATATAAAGCTAAATAATTTAAATAATGTGGTACTGGCATATGCAGATATGTGTATTAATGGGACTGGTGAAAAAGTCCAGAAATTAACCTAAATATTATTTTTCAATAAATGCTGTTGCGATACTTAAACAGCCATTTGAGAAAAAAAAATCATATCCATATATCATTCTATGCACCCAGATAAATTCCAGATGAATTAAAAATTTTAATGCAGAAAACAAACCCTTAAAAGTACTGGAAGAACATGTGGAGAGTTTTAAAAAAATAATCTCAGAGTATTTTAAAGTATGACACCAAGTCCAGAAGCAATGGAAAAAGATGTGTACATGTGCATGCTACGTATGGCAAAATATTTTCTAAATAAAGTCAAAGGACAATTGAGAGAGTGTGGAAAATATTTGCAGCTCATATTAAAGGGAATTGCAATTCAACAAATACAATGACCAAACAATCCATTAGAAAATTAAGCAAAGAGCAACAGACAGAAGCAGACTGTCCACAGGGAAGGAATCACAGGTGGCTCTTTCACAGATGGAACGAGACTCAGCCTCTCTCTCAGTAAGAGGACTACTATTTTATTTATTTATTTTTTATTTATTTATTTTTGGCAGCTGGCCGGTTTGGGGATCCGAACACATGACCTCTGTGTTATCAGGCTGTGCTCTGACCAACTGAGCTAACCAGCCGTCCCCAGGACTGCTATTTTAAAATCATACTTAGACATCATTTTTTTTTTTTTTTTCCTTTCAAGTTGCCAAACATAAAAGGAAAAAAAATGTTGACAAAACAAACAACCTCTTGTACATTGTTGGTGGGAGTGTTTCTTGGTACAGGCAAAAAACTGAAAACATGTAAATGGTCATCAACAGGAGACTGGGATATTCATATAATCCAGAGGACTGGCAGGAGACTTACGCTTTATCATACACATTTGTTCCTTTTGAATTTTGTAGTAGGTACGTGTATTTAAACAATGCATTAATTAATTTCAATTCATAATTAGGAAAATAAAAGGTGATCATTAACTTATAGTCATATAGTCATTTTCATTGAAGTAGCCCTGCTCTCTATATTCTAGGATGTTAGATTTAGGGGTTTTGGGTTTCAGTTTTGATTTTGGTTTTGTTATTGTCTTGCTTTTTTTTTTTTTTCCTTCAATTCTGGGCCTACATCTTGGTTATCTCTTGGAAATTCAGAACAAATAAACCATTTACATTCAATTTAAGTTTCTTAAAAAGAAAGTGAAAAGCAAAAAGCCTCTTTTCTTTTGATGAAGCCCCATAACATGGACAGGAAGCAGGAGACTAGGAGAATATACAAAGAACTCCTTAGAGCCACCACCTTCTGGCTGAGGTGACTCTGTGTAAATTGTCCAGCCATTTTTCAACTTGAACGCTAAGGACATTTACATGGATGAGAGCCTTTTGCTTGTCTTTTGACATCAAAAGTCTTCACATTGTTCTTAGTCACCTGTACCTTAGCAGCCAACAAAAACCCTGTTCGCATGCTTGCCTTTGGTTTAATTACATTTCACATTATAATGATTCCATTTAGAAATGCCACGTGTCCTCAAATAAGCACGCAAAACCCAACTCATGTAAATTTTAGAACCAAGATTTATGAAATCATATTGTCCAGGTGTTTTATTACATTACCTTGAAATTGCATTGTTTTCTAGTGTAGATTATCTATTTATTCTTAAGTTATTCCATTACGTTTGGATATGAAAAATAACACTAGCTTTCTCAATACAGGTCACCAGGCTGGCTTGGCTGATGTGTTGTTTTCATACATTTTTATGATATTCCTATAGTAAACATAATTTAATAAAGCCAAAGCACACTAAATAAATAATTGCATCTAGAAAAGCAATAAAGACAAATAAAATTAGTACTTTCATAAGTGGGAAAGGTACTTCAATTACTGCTACAAGCAACAACCCACCATAAAGTGTGTAGAATCATTTCCCTTATGCGTATTTCTGGAATATAATAATTTGATTGAAGATATGAGGCAGCACCAAGAGGCTCAGAACTGTGAAGTGTATATAGTTTCCAAGAGAAGATGCATAATATCTGTCCTTGGCATCTTTAAAGAACCTATTGTTTTTCTGGCATGAACACTTGGCTATCCCATCAACCATGTGCTTAATTACCTTTCGCACCTTGTTTAACTGGAAATAAATTCCTAATGGCCAGTGAAGGGGGTAAACGAGTATTTCTTACCAGTTCTCACCAAGTGGCCTTTCTTTGCACTGACGTTTCAGTGGAAGGCTTTGGTGCCTCTGAGAAGGAGCTTAGAGAAAAATTGGGGCATACCAGTAAGACTAGGTAAGACTATAGAACTGCTAGTTAACCAGGAGCCAGGAGCAGGATGTACTGGTACCTCAGCTGGCTGCCATGTGAGGGTCCTGCTGCAGGCTGACGTTACTTCAGTCAGTGCCACTTCACTGCTATCTTGACTGTACAAACTACACCTGGATTTCAGCTCAGGACTCACTCCTGGTGTCTACAGAATTCAGGATCGGGGGGACAGCAGGTGCTGTCTGAAGGTGGATGAGGAAGCAGCACTTCTGCTAACTCCCTGACAGCTGCTGGCCCTTGAAGCAACCCTCTTGTAGCCCCCATCCTCTTCTTGGGGGTGCAGGAAGTAAAGAAGCATATGAGGCATTCGTGCTCAGAGCAGAAACTTCAAAAATGTTGAGCCCATGAGTTTACACTCTTATGATAACTTTATATTCCACTGAGAGCAAAAGGAAACTGCCCAAAGGAGGGTTTCCAGGCCTCAGACCTGAGCTGTACATCATATGCAGCTATTGCTGTATCCACTGGAAAATGGGCAGAGGTGGGCTGACGGCTGGGAAGTCCTAGTCGAGTCCTTTAGAAAAAGCCCTAGAACTTCCTGAATATGTGAGAAGCAACCCCGCCATTCCTCTCTCCAGGGACAGTTTGGTTTCCCTTCCTTTTTCCGTTTGCTCAGCCTGCAGAGACTCCGGTCAGATTCCCTTTCTATTCCTCAAATAAAGGCCTGGTATTTGTGGTATTCAACTGCCCGGAATCTCCTATGTCCTAAACCCTTTGGTTTATGTACCTCTAACCTCACTTTTCACACACGTCCTACCGGTCAGGGAGAACCCACTCCTCAGCTGGGATCGGGATTCTGGGAGCGAGAGTGGAGGGTCGGATAGGGACGAGTGTGATGCCTCAGAGGGAATTTGGGACAAAGGAGAAGACTCCTAGCTCTGGGCTCCGTGGAAGTGCTCCTGGAGGGGAGGTGCGGAGGAGCGCGGCCCTCGCCCTGTAGCTGCCTGCAGAGCAGGGTGCAGGAGTCTGGACCTCAGATCCAATGTCAGCTGTGTGACCTTGGCCAGTTGCATCACTGGCATTCCGGGAAAATGATACACACCCTGTTGGACAATTGTGAGGATTTAAATGAGATGCGTGTGAACGTTTTG